ACGGAGACCAGTACGGAAGATAATACGTCCTGTAAAAATAAGAGACTTTGTTGAATTTTAATTTTGTGTTTGTAAATTCTGTACATTTAATTAAGTTATTGTTAATTGTTTATTGGTTTAATGTAAGTGGCTATTGTTCGGGACGAACAATACTAAGGAAGGGTCAGTGTTACGAGAGCGGGGGCACGTGACGCTAGTAACACGTCATATTCTTGAAGGTTCGTGAAGTCTCGAGGGGCTACTAGATATGCGGTAGTCTTGTATACATAAGCCGCCAAGAACTCACGGCTATAATGTGTAATTGACAGCTGAGTCGAGCACGTGAGACTTTCCTTGTGAATTATAGCGCGACTGTGGAAATTACGTGTATTGCAAAGTTGTATTCAGAAAGAATAAACCAGTTTTACTTAAGAAGGGTTTGTTTGTTTTTTGTTTTAATTTCGTGCAAAGCTACACGAGGGCTATCTGCGCTAGCTGTTCCTAAATTAGCAGTGTAAGACTAGAGGGAAGGCAGCTAGTCATCACCACCCACCGCCAACTCTTGGGCTACTCTTTTACCAACGAATAGTGGGATTGACCGTGACATTATAACACCCCCACGGCTAAAAGGGCGAGCATGTTTGGTGTGACGGGGATTCAAATCCGCGACCCTCAGGTTGCGAGTCGAGCGCCGTAACCACCTGGCCATGCCGGGCCATTTAGAAGGGACTTGTGTCGCTAAATTTTCATCGGAAAGAAATTATACGGATAATTAACTAACGACCAGAGACGTAACAGTAGGTTTCCTATTTAACTGTTTATTCTTCTGGGTATTCGCTTCATGTTTCCGTGCACTACTCAATTTCTCCTAATTTCGTTTTCAAATACTCACTCTTTGCTTTCCTATACAGATGCCTGATTTTCTAACGCTTCCCTAAATTTCTGTCTCCTCTTGAAAGTTGTCTTCTTTCATTTATTTCCTTTTTTTCTCTTTTGTGGAAGCTCATTATTCACCCAGATTTTGTTTTTACCCTGTCATTCTTCTCTCCTGCTAACTATAACTGTCTTTGAAATTGACCCAATGGTCCACATCATCCTTGTTTGTAAATTAATTTTCAAATAATATTTCAAATCGGTTTTTGCCCTGAATAAAAATAAAAATTATATACATATTCAATTAATTGTATAAGTTTTCAATTAGTCTACTATAAAAACATGTGCCTCTAATCTGTATCATAATGACTAGTTTTAAACTAGTAAACCACTGCATACGATTTGATGGCGTATAATAATCTACTAGGTGTTACATAATGATTTATACTAAACCTCTACTAATAAGAAAAACGTGATGTCTCATCTTCTAGATCCGTATCATGAATGATGAGTGGATGCTGAAAGAAGGAGAAATTGGAGAGTATCCTACAGATACAATGTGCCAGATGGCTGCTCTGGAGAAGCTAATGGAATTAAAAGGATTTTCTGAATCTCCATTTCGGTTAATGAAAAAGACGTTTTACAAAGTCGGTAAGTATTAATTCCTAATATATTTTATGATCTTTATACAGAACAACCTTTAATGTTATTTAGTGCTTTTAGCTCATATGTGTCAAAGTAACGTTCTGAGTTTACTTGAGATTCGGGTAGTTTTGTATTACTTTTATGAAGCATAAAAACTGCTAAAATTAAAATTATAAATAGTGGATTCGTTTTAGTGTGTGGCAGCTTATTGAGGATAGTTTATTTATTTAACTTCCTCAGTTTTTCACAAGCATACTCTTGATTTGTAAAGAATAATCTACGCTATTTTTACACTCCCAGCATCTCTCACTGTCTAGAAAATTAATGAGCGAAAAATAAATTTTATATTTATATTATGTTTTTTTTCAAAGCATACTTTTTGGCAATGAGTAATGGGTGAGATTGCAGGTTTACTTTTAGTTTTCTTCTAGACTGCTAGTGTTAGCAGGAGCTCCATGTTTATCTGCACAATTTTCATTTCTCCACAAATATTTGAACATTACATATACTTTTCTATGTTTACCTACATTTCTTCATACATTTTATTATTTAGATGACAATGCCGTTCTTCGTGGTGACAGAGATCCAATTACTGGAAAATTGTTCTGGAACCAAATTATGCTGTGTTCTTGTTCTGATACCTACCAGTGCAGCAGATACCCTAGCTACAATCCTAGTTATCACTATCCATCATCTTACTACAGTTCTACCAACTCCTATGCCTCATCTTCTTACAGCAGTGTACCTAGCCAAGTGTCATTAAGCGAGGCTTATTTCAACCAAGGAGAGTATGAAACATTTGATCTTGCTGCAGAACACACAGGCACAAGTTTTTTTGAGCCTTAGATAAAATGAACAAGTACCCTGTGATGTTTCTTTCTGTCAACATTTTGGGATGAGAAAAACATTCACACTAAAGTTATAAGTAGGCATAAAAATATTTTGTGAAACAGGTTTGTGCCACAATTAGTCACCTTTAAAGTATGCTGCACTTTCTAGTCAAACACTAAATGCTACTTTGTTCAGTTTAGAAGTGAAATCTACACATATCAAGCTTTAACGAACACTGCTGTCAGTTTATTAAATGATATACCAACAGACTTAATTTTTCCTTCATATTTATATTTATATATATTTCATGGAAAGAAACAAAATAGATATTAATATAGAAGAATAACTGACTTCCCATGTGAATAAATATTAAAAACTGTAACTCACACCAGAGTTTATTAATTTGTCCCTAAGTTATTTTCACATCAGTCTAATGATGTATTTGTTATATTAATAAAAACATTTATCTATTTTTTTGTTCATTACAAACTTAATTGGAGGAATGCTTATAATATATAATTTTCAAAATAAGTCTTAAAAATAAAACACCTATATTAGACTAGGCAAGGATTCAATTAACCCAAGTGACTGGGCTTAACGTGTCTTCTTTTTTTATGTGTCTTTCTACTCAAATTGCTGTATTTAAATTTTAAGAATAATATAGTGAGTGTGAATAATAATACTATTTATATTTTCTTGCATTTAACCGATAAACATTGATAAGTAGGTGTTGTTGGTAGATTAGATAATTAGATTCTATTTTTATGAAGTAATGATGTAACATTTACCAAAGAACAATGTGATATAAGTATTTAAAATTTTGTGAAATATTACACTCAAGCACAAAACAGCATTGATATAATTCTTTAAAAAACTGTTTATATTTATTCTACTGGGAAAAAATGAATAAATGCTCATGACCAAAAAAAAATGCCTTATACTTTTACTACTTACAAGAAATATAACTAATTTGGTATTGACAATAAAGAAATTGCATTTTTCTAAAATAAACACAATGTCTAAATCTTTTTCAAATGCATGTTTTAATTTTTTGTATCACTTAAGTCAGAAAACACAACAAAAATAAAATAAATATAACAAACTTCACTCTTTAAGACACAAACACTAGTTGTTGAGTTTGGTGTAATGTCTTGAATTCTGCTGAATAACTATTATATACCTTTTATCTTTATTGTAATAAGCAAACCTACATACTTATTCTGACAAGTGTCCAGTACTTGTCATTGTAAGGAAGAGTTATTTTGTTCAACAGTCTTTAGCTAGGAAACAAATCACTGAAAAACTTTTTTAATTTTATGAATTATTTCATAATTTTGAGCTTTCTAAAATATGTTTTTGATTATATATATATTATAATCTTAGCTTTATGTATAACTTATTTATTTGTAGAGTGATACTTTTTTATATATTGTACTGAATTATATTTTATTTATTCCACTTCCTGGACAAGGTATTAACAATGTGTCATTAAAATTACAAAGCATACCTCTGAGTCATTATTCAACTAAAAATAATTTACAGAATTCATATTGTTATGCCTACAGTCATTAGTTAATTTTCCATAACTTCATTCCAACGAAACTTTAGCGACACAAGTCCTTTCTTAAATAAAACTGGTTTATTCTTTCCGAATACAACTTTACGATACACTTAATTTCAACAGTCGCTCTTTAACAAACGCTATAATTCTCAACGAACTTCTCACGTGCTCAACAATATTCTCTCTGACTGCAGTTCAATTACTCATTACACTGTTGTCCCGTCACATTGTGAACGTCTTATATATACAAGACTAACACATAGTAAATGCTAGGGCATTCTTGAAGGAACAGGATATTTCTAGAAACAGGTGGCATGATACTAGTCACGTGACCTCGCTGACGCAACAATATCTTCCTTTTATGGGTAAAAAAGTGGGACATAAACAATAATTAATTTCAGACAAAATGTATTTCTAAACAAGGATATTAAATAAAAATGAAGCATTTGAGAAATTTTTTTATCCACAACTGTAAATTTCAGGAGCTCTTATACGCTGTATATTAATCTTGTTATAACTGACGTTTATGGAATTTATTGTGGAACCCTAAAGAGCAGTTAAAAACTGTAAAAAGGGTGAGCACTTCAAAAGATTGATTCTTTCAATCATCCCTTTTATAGAATCTGCAACATTTTGTTACATCTCTGGATCTTTTTTACCTTTTGGGTGTTAACAATTAGAGGAAAAGTGCACATAAACCATTAATGAAGTGGGATGAATGTATGATGCAAAAATAAAGTATTGCTTTCAGTATAATACAACATACTACACCCAGCAGGCACATGACATTGTTTCAATGCAATATTTTTAATATTGAATAAATGGTGATTTCTGATGTTGTTTCAATATTGATTTTTTTCTTATTTTCAACCAAAGACAGCTTATATATAATTAATATTTTTAATCATTACCTGGATGGTTGATTATCCTACAGCACGATAGGAGGGAAGATGCTTGTATAACTCAAAATGGATATAATGTTCCAAAAAGTTTGTTTTCTCATTTTCTTTAAAAATTTTTTAGTTGTTTCAATGTTGTAACTTCAACGTCATTTCAATTTTCAAATCAAACTACAATTTACTGTTATTTCAACATTAACTGCAATGTTGATTCAACATCGATGTACCTGCTGGGTACATGTATCTGTTTCAGAAGTTGTTGGACACAAATTCAATGTCTCTTTCTTTTTTACTCAAATGCTTGAAATATAACTTAATGCTCTTATATGTGTGTGCATGTAATCTCTGTGACCTGATTAACAACTCAATTACGAACCAGGTTTTATTGCCTTCATTACAAAATAGTAAAACATAATAACTTATAAAGGGAATATAGTAAAAACAACAGGGTCTACAGTAATTAGAACATAAAATAAAACAGTGCATAAAAGCTATATTTTTAAACAGTATAATTTCGCACATACACACTCTACTAACAACATTAAATTAAACTGAATTTTAACTTTCCACAATTTTTGAAATCCCAAAACATTAATGTTATCAATTAAAAATACCTTAAAATAGTGAATGCTGCACATTTCATGTGGATTCTACAAAGATCAAACAAACAAAGTGAAAACTAAATATCTATAAACTTTAGTACAGTAACAGAATTAACTACAACCATCCAAGATAAAATATAAATAATGTTTTTTCAAAATATGAAATATCAGATTACAATGTTAGTAAAGACTTTTTTAAACAATTAAATAATAACTCATTTGAATAAGTGTATTTTGTATTGTAAATGAACAAATGCAAGAGAACTGTTTGTTGTGTAGTTATGCACAAAGCTACACAATGGGCTATCTGTGCTCTGTTCACCACGAGTATCAAAACTCGGTTTCAAGTGTTGTAAGTCCGCAGACATACCGCTGTGCCACTGGGGGGCATGCAAGAAAAAACTCTTTGCTATAAACTGTGTAACACATATACATCAACCCTACACATAGCCCATACCTTACTATGTGGCTGACCACTGTCTATATTATTCTAGCTCAATGCCACAGTTAAACATCATTGTACAGCTGCCCACTGTCTATGGTACTCTGACTCAATTCCATATCATTGTCCAGCTGACTACTGTTTATGGTATTCTGACTCAGTACCACACTTACACATATTGTACAGCTGACCACTGTTTATGGTATTCTGACTCATTTACACATCATTGTCCAGCTGACCATTGTCTATGGTATTCTGACTCAATCCACATTTACAATCATTGTACAGCTGACAATTGTCTATGGTATTCTGACTCAATTTCACAGTTCCACATTATTGTACAAGTGACCACTCTCTATGGTATTCTGACACAGTACCACACTTACACATATTGTACAGTTGACCACTGTCTATGGTATTCTGATTCAATTCCACATTTACACATCATTATCCAGCTGACCACTCTCTATGGTATTCTGACTCAATCCACATTTACAATCATTGTACAGCTGACAATTGTCTATGGTATTCTGACTCAGTTCCACATTATTGTACAAGTGACCACTCTCTATGGTATTCTGACTCAATACCACACTTACACATATTGTACAGCTGACCACTGTCTATGGTATTCTGACTCATTTACACATCATTATCCAGCTGACCACTCTCTATGGTATTCTGACTCAATCCACATTTACAGTCATTGTACAGCTGACAATTGTCTATGGTATTCTGACTCAATCCACATTTACAATCATTGTACAGCGGACAACTGTCTATGGTATTCTGACTCAATTCCACATCATTGTCCAGCTAACCAGAAGAAATGGGAAGAGAAATATGAATGGTTGTTTCTTGATACATCCCTTGGAAGGCGTTTTGTAAGTACAACCGAGAATTATTGAAAAATGATTTAGATGTACTACATAGAACAGGTGGTGTTTCCATAACAAGTCCGTTTATCAACTTCCGAAAAGCAAATGGGAATAGTGAGAATCTCGACAAACATTCTAAATCCGTGACACCTGCTCATGCTCAAGCAATGCATAAGCTTCGTGAAGAGGATTTTAAAAGACCAGTTCATACTTTATTTTTTCACCAGTCGCAACAGGGAAGTAATGGCTGAGTTTGTGAGAAGCGTCTACTTCTAAGCAAAAGAAGAAATCCCACTTATTACGAAGTATGAACATTTGATTTTTCATCTTTTTTTATGCTACAAGACGACTCTCTGAAACAATGGGTGGGAAATCAGAGCGACCGTTCAACATATGTAAGTAAAGCTACAGCTTACGATCTGTTGACCTGCATTGTCGTTATAGATAATTGTGACACTTCGAACAATGGTGTAGCTACCATGTATGCTCAAATATCCACATCAATCTAATAAGTTTGTTTTTAAGTTATATAATATATATTTAACGTATAAACATAAATATATAAGTAATGTATTCCCATTCGTTCATTCAAATTTTATCACTGATTATAACAACTTGTCTCCTAGACCCCCACCAGGTCCTTGCATGTATGCATCCATATAAATGTGATGCTGGCTACTCCATAGTCGGAATTGAATAACAAATATTATTCTATAATGGCTAACGAATCGTCAGATATCAACAATGTGCACCAGTTGTCAATTTTGCTTTGCTATAAACTGATTGCAGTGAAGTAAAAGAAAAAATATTGAGCATTAATGATCTAGCAAGCACTGATCCCAAAACCATTATGAGTTCATTTGAGAGAG